AAACCAGAAAATACACATAAAATAAATAAAGTGAAAAAAGCTAATCAAGAACTAAACAAATTATAACGAAATATAGTAAAGTATTTAATCAAACATCAATCATAAATAAAACATCTTAATTATGAGAATTATCACATGAGATTTAAAGTCAAACCTCGAAACTCCAGCAATCCTAGGTTTGAACAGTGAATCCTCAGGTCTGACTTACGGTCTTAGTCAACCCCCGAAATAAACTTCCGGCCTTTGACTAAAGAAGTTTTGTCAAACCTAGGAGACTAATTTGGTCAGGCAAAACGTCTAAACTTAATTTCATGAAATCGTGGTTTGACCAGTCAAACTCCGATTACGTATTAAAACGATCATAATTTGTTTAATATTTTTTTAAATTTTAATGTTTATTATTTTATTATTATTATGACATTTAAAATTGCACAATACGTTAGACTTTTTACTTTTAAATAATTTTTTAAAGCACTTTTTATTGCAGTAGCATTTTATAAAGCCTTGTCCCCCAAATTTGAAATCTTTTGCCTGATTTTTCTTCTGGACGTTGGGCAAATCTTTGAAATTAAGAAAATTCTCTTTGCATTCTTTTATTTGATTCCTCGAAAAAAGTGTGTCTATTATTCCGTGTGTCGTCCCTACTCTGTGTAAACCGTCAATTGTTTTGTCTTGTATGATACCCAAAATATTTCAAGCATCTCCTTTGGCTCTATCAAAGCTGGAAATGGGTATGGTTACAGTATTTCCAAACGCAATACGCGGAAATTTTTGTTGAGTTAATTTTTTTCATAACATTTGTCATTTCTTTATTTATTTTTATATTTTCTGTCTGTGTACACTGCATGCATGTAATTGTACTTTCGAATCCTTCATAATACACAAAGTGTGCTGTCAGCGTACACAACATGTACAACCTGATTACAATTATGCACGTATGTACGCCAGAGCTCCCTTTTTGACAAATACTATAAACCACATCTGAAGAAGTAATTGTTAAGTCTCAATTGTTAAACAATTTTCTTCCTTTCTTAGTGACGACGGTCCAGAGGCTTTGTCAGTGTGGTGATCCTTGGTTTTTTCTAGATTGAAGTGTCTTCTCTCGCAGTTGACGATGACGGTCCAGGTATTCCAATTTCATATCTTTGAGCTAAAATAAAATTCATATACTTAGTCAAACCAAATGACATGTAAATAATAATTGAAGAGCTCGTTTCCAAAGTGTCTTAAATCCAATATTTCGATTTTTTTATTTTATTAAAGACGTTATAGATTTCTTCAGGCCTAGAATTAAAGTTTTATGCACCAAAACGGTTATTTACCATTTGAAAATTCGTATTTATTTTCAAAAGTCTTATCTCCCTACTGGTTTTATTTGCAATGCGTCTTAAATTCGCTACAGAACAATTGCTTTCTTATTCTGTGAACCCGCCTTGTCAATATATGTGTGTGTACTCTGCTTCTAGTTGATGCGTACAGTAAGCGGCAATCATCTGTGTTACAAACATTTTTTTTGTTCATTGTTATTTGTTTGATTTTATTGTGTAATTTGTTATTTTTCCGTGAACAAGTTATTTGCCAGTAGATCGGGTTTTTGGAAGAGTAGAAAAAAACATACGAAAAACTGAAGAAGTTTTGATACCAACTGATTATGTTATATTTGAAAAGTTTGGATATGTGTTTTTCCTCGGCGAGGACTGTTTTACTGATGACTGGAAACTATCGGTTAGGAGGCGCATAAAGTCCAAAATGGACTACAATGTAACAGAAATAGAATCCATAGAGATAACAGGTAGCAGATTGGGCTGCAAGTCCAACTACTCGGATCTTTCCATATGTTTTCACATACTGTTAAAGTTAAAAAGGGGAAAGAAACGATCATTTGTTAGGCCAAACACAGAGGCCTTATTCCATTTAATTAAGAAAGAGACATTAAAAGATCGTAAATTACTTTTAACTACGCTAGAAATTTTTGAACAGCATTTTGCCATGTCGTTTTGGCAGAAAGCTTTATCTGCTGATATAAGTAATGCTGTTGAAAATTTCTAATGACGATGATGATGATTGAATAACTTTTAAAAGCTGGTTTATCTAACATTATTTATTGTATACTAAAAATAAATACACAATTTTCATAATTTACGTTTTTTTAACATTGATCTAAGAAATTATGACGTTTTAATACCCGATCTCAGTTTGACTGGTCAAACCCCGATTTCATGAAATTAAGTGTAAATGTTTGCTTGACCAAGCCAGTATCTCCTAGATTCGACAGAAATTCAAAGGTCGAAAATGGAATTTACATATAATACATAATACTATATAAATAAAACAAAACATTTACTTTGTAATTTTTTAGAAATAGGAAGTGTGTCAAGTCAAAAGTGTGCTCTGTTAGTACAGAGATCGAGTGAATTAGTAGAGTTTACTAAATTAAGTTGTGTAAAATCAATTCTTTACACTTGGCCAGTATTTAGTGAGCACTCTAGCTGAATCAATATGGGATGAAAAAGGATTAATCAAGTGAGAAAATTATATTTACTCAATTTAATGGCTGACACTACTATTCTAGGCAACTCTACTAAAATGAATTTCTTCAAATAAGTCCAGTATTACATTTCTCTACCAGTCAACTACTGTTTAATCAAGTGTAACATTAGACATAATAGTTTAGCTTTAGAAAAGACTAAATAATCAATAAGATTAGGTAGGATAACATAGGATTTGTAAAAGCTAAGAACTATGGTGTCCCAATTGGCAAATCCAAGCAAAAACTTAACAGATTACTTATATAAAATTAATTTTTTAAATATAAATCTTATATCACAGTATTTAGTTTTCCAAACTATATAGTGAACGGCTAAATTATGGAATATTATCATTATTTCGAGAACCGTCGAGTTTTAAGGGAAAGTCCCGAAACGTACATGGAGTAGGGATGACGTCACCAGTGTAGGTGTATGAGATCGTTATTAATGCGACACCCATTATAAACGAGAATTCAATCCTCATTTTAACGACATTACATTTTTATATAAAATATTTTTTAAGGGTACAAAAACATTGTTTTTTTAATTTAAATTCAACTAAATTACAACTAATGATTTAATTCATAATGTACTTTAAAATAACCAAATTATGCACAACAATTATTTTAAATTAAATGTTCGAAATGCCATCCATCGGTTCCTGTCATGACTTATTCTGAAGTAAATACTTAAAAAAGCAAAAATAAGTAAAAATAATAATGGACACAAAAAGTTATCTCATAAACAGAGAAACTTTTTGTCAAATGTTAATTCAAGTAAGTGATAGTGGTATAGTTACTGTAATATTTGGAGAAGCTGGGCACGTTAAACATATTCCAAACGCTGGGCGTCCTAACATTAAAGACAATGTGAAACTTGATATTTTATTAAATGTACATGACAATCCTCACAGTAGTTCAAGACAAATGGGTGAATATGCTGGAGTTTCCCAACGATCGGTGTTACGTATTTTAAAAAAAGAAAAATATCATTCCTACAAAATTCAATTATATCAGGAATTAAACGACGACGATCCAGATCGCGGCTTCAATTTTCTGAAATTATGCAGGATTTATGTATCCGAAATCTACATTTCATCAATCAAATCCTTTCTTCCAATGAAGCCACATTTTTTATATATGGTACCGTGAATCGTCAAAATTGCAGATATTGGAGTCAAGAAAACCCACATTAGATGACTGAGTCACACACGCAATATCCTCAGAAAGTAAATATATGGGCAGGGATCATTAATGACAGAATCATTAGCACGTTTTTTTTTCAAGAAAATCTAGCAGAAGAACATTATTTAACTTTTTTGAGAAATCAACAGATACCTGTCCTTGCTAACATGTATCCAAATGCCAATAATCCAAATTTACCTAGTGAAAATATCTGGTTTCAACAAGATGGAGTCCCTTCGCATTACGCACGTGAAGTACGTCAATTTTTAAATTATTCCTTTCCCAGGAGGTGGATCGGAAGACGAGGTTTTATAGAGTGGCCAGCAAGGTCACCAGGTCTAACACCTCTAGACTATTTCCTGTGGGGTTACATAAAATCAACAGTTTATGTCAATAGACCTAAAAAATTACAGGACTTGAAAGATAGAATTAGACATAAAATGAGTCTAATTACTCCAGAAGTCATCCTCAATGTACTTGATGAATATTATCTGTAGATTCGTATATTGTCAAGAAACAGTGTTGATGGATTTTTAAGTTTTTAACATTTTTGCAACAATAGTTCTAAATTTATATTTGTAACTTGTATTTGTAACTTTTATTTCTTATTTATTTTATTGTAATAACTGTTTTATTTTAATCATGTGTACATTTGCTATATATTGTACTCTTTTGTACTAAAATTTTGACTAGTCTGATAAGATTTATACATTTTTTTTTCTTGTAAAAATTGTGTAAACTTTGTGGATGAATAAATTCTATCTATCTATCTATCTAACCAATGGATGGTATTTCGAACATGTAATTTAAAATAATTATTATGAATAATTTGATTACTTTAAAGTACATTATTAATTATATCATTAGTTGTAATTTAGTTGAATTTAAATTAAAAATAATTGTTTTTGTACCCTTAAAAAAATATTTTAGTTAAAAATGCAATGTCGTTAAATAGAGAATTAAATTCTCGTTTAAATGAAGTGTCGCATTATACCGATTTCTATTCAAAAAAAATTAACGATTACGTCACTACACCTGTGACGTCATCCCTACTCCATGTACGTTATAAGATGGGTATTTTATAACAAAAATCGACCTGTTTCGGGATTTCCCTCAAAACTAGACAGTTCTCGAAATAATGATAATATTCCATAATTTAGCCGTTCAATGTATAAGAGATTATTATAGATTTTTTTGGGAAAAATGTCTATAAATTGGACAAGATATGGACATTTGTGTATTTTCTTATTGAGATTTTAATAAAGTGATGCTATGTAGTGACATTTAAAGAAATGCATAGAGAACATAATTTTGCTTTAGATTTGCTTTTATTCGATTTATTTAATTTCATTATTAGTAACAATTATAAAATGGAAAAATTCAAACAATAATTTAGCACAAACACTACTTTTCACATCATCTATTTAAACTTTACTATACTTTACAATACTTTTATATACCCTACAATTATATTTGAAAAATCTGGGCTTGTAAATTTTACTATTCAAATGATTATTCGAACTCATTTATTGCACTTTGCCATACAGATCTTAGAATTATTTCAGATCGCTTTATTTGGTATCCTGACTAGAAATTTAAATTCCTTTTAATAACTTTATTATATCACAGCATAACTCATATGTTCCAAAATATAAAGCAGATGAGACACATGCTTTTAATAAACTAGGTGATAACCCCTTAAAGAAACCAGCTGCACCTTCATCTCTATAAACATTACCTAAAGCATCTACCATGCCCTTACATTTAAAAACTTTCCCAAAAATCTCTCTACCTTCTTCAAAACCTTGTATTTGCATTCTCTTTTTGACTAAATCTAAAGGATATATAGCAGTTTTAGCACAGAGACCTGCTAAACTTCCTGACACAACACTATTCGATAAAGTTACTTCATTTTGATTAAATAAAAGTGAATACATATCATTAAATAATTTATATGTCATAAATTGTACTCCTGCATGTGGAGTTATTTGAAATAAAGTTGGCAATAGACCTCTAAATAAGGTAATAGGTTTTTCATTTTTCAAAATAACTTGACAAGAATGGATAATTCCTTTGTATATCATCTTCTGCTCACTTTGAGCAACTAGTCTGGTTCTAATTACATCAAATGGAAAGGACAATAATGTTGCAGTAGAACCTGTAATTAAAAATATATGAATAATTAATTAAAATTTATAATTCAGAATTCTTTATAAAAATAAAAAAACTATATCAAGTACAATAAACCCCCAATGTGCAGATAATAGTTCTGAATACCTCACAAAGTCAATATGAAATGTTTTATGCAAAGGAGTTTCCACATACAAAGAAGCATAGACACAGGACCAACAAATATCAAGGTAGTTAATGATTGTCAAGGGTATTAAGTTCACATTTCTTAAGACAAAACTATGAAGAAAACCATTAAAGAGGCATAAAATAATATATACTTAAAATAGAAAGACAATAGAGATCAACAACTGTATGAATAACATAAAGTATAGAACAGTTTACCTGCAACTGCTCCACTCATAAAATTTATCAAATATGAATAGTTTTTTTCAAAATCCAGTGATTTAGCTTTCTTCACCAAAAGTTCAAATGTAGAAAATTGTACCATTCCATATGTAATAGATAACCATTGTGCAGGTATGTGACCTTTCCAAAAAGCTTTCAGGCCTTCTTCACGGAGTATAAGGGCTACAGCTTGAGGTATAGATTTATATTTTGAAACTGCTACAGTAGATATAGGTTCAACTTGCAGCTGAAATCTTATTTTTAAAACATCAAGTGGTTGACTTAACGCTCGGGTAATACAACCTGATCCACCTCCTGCTAGAACATAATCTAAACTGTTTAAGGTATTCTTACTTTCCAAAATTTCAACCATAGCTGCAACACATGAATATAATTTACTAACAGAAGATGCCCGAATATTTTAACAACTTAAATTTGAAAATATTAACTGATGAGATAATAATATAAATTTAAAGGTAGTAAAATATTCATTCCCATTTTCATTCATTTTCAAATAGATTTTTAAGCTCAATTATACTGCAAATTCCTAATAATCCATTATCTAACAATATACATAACAAGTCTGGTAAATGTCAACCTAAAAATTAGTTTTGACATAAGATGGGTATTCAGAGGAAAGAGGCCAAATTCAAAAACTATGGACACTTACATACAACAGTTTTTGGATCTAAGAAAATGACAGTTGTAGTGTTGCCGATGTATCAAATTAAACAGTGATATACATAAAAAATGTATAATACAATAAAATTCATTATATTATGGCGATATAAGACAATATTTATACTTAATATTCATAATAACCATAAACTAAGCATTAATTTTTATATAATGTTTAATTGGAAATGCAGTTTTATATTATAATAATTGTAATATAATTTTGCCGACGCAAAATAAAAGCATATTATATTTTAATAATAATTTTCGCACGAAAACAACAAAACAATCACAAAATTTTTTTTTTTTTTTTTATTTAAATTAACGTGCATGTGACATCTATGGTCATTAGCACGAGTTACGATTTACATGGTAATATAATATAAATTACAAAATAAAATGTAGTTAACATCTAACATACAGAGAAAATAATAAAAACTTGTAATATAACATTTATATTTTGTTGAGCAGTTGACTATTCTCGAGGAATTTGATGACCTTGTTGATTTCGTCTGTGTTGTTTAGGACCTCTTTGAAGTTAGTACTGATATTGAGCTGTTGGCGTATTTTGGCATATAAAGGGCATTCGATAAGTATATGCTGATTCGGAGAGTCGTATTGCAGTGTTGACATTTTGGTTGTGGAGATGATGTCATCAGGTAGCCATGAGTTAGACGGGTATGTCCAATACGCAGTCTCCGTATGATTGCCATATTTTTTCGAGATAAACTGGGATAGGTAAGACGGTTCACTGTAGGTTTGATTTCATGCAGCGCTGAGGTAACATTATTCCAGTGAATCTGCCACGTAGATAAATTAAGCTTCTTTAGTCTGGCTTTCAGATCATTACAAATTTGTATGTTTATAATGGTGTTCGTGGATGATGCGGCTTTTTTGGCAAGGCAATCAGCTTTTTCGTTACCACTAATACCAACATGGGATGGTACCCATATCAGAGTGATAGTTTATATTTTGTTTTATAAGAAGCTGATATATGTCATGAATATCTTGGACGATAGGATGTTTGGTGGATATAGCATTAATGGAGTGTATAGATGAAAGCGAATCGGAGCATATGGCTATGTGTGTATTTGTATATCGTTGGGCATATATAAAAGCTTGTAAGATAGCTAGTAGTTCACCAGTGTGGATACTACACCAAGGAGAGATTTTAGAGAGTTCGATAGGCTGTTGTACAGTGGTTACAGAATATCCAACCCCACCTTCAGTCTTCGACGCGTCAGTGTAAAGAACCATGTTATATTTATTTTTGTTTATAAGTTCTAGGAAGAGAATTCTTAATGTACTAATACTGGTATCTTCCTTGTTAAACTTGGTGAGTGAAATATCATGATATGGGAGTATGTTGGTCCAATAGGGATTATTGGAGAATGGTAGAGTTCTGGTTTCACACAAATTTATATCTTTTAGTAACGGTTGTAGAAGACTAGGAATAGGATGTATAATTAAGTTACATGGAGGGCTGTTTTGGGTATGATGTGATGATGTAAATAGATGATATACGGGATTGGACGGATTGGAAGAAATTGCAGCAGCATAGGAGAGAAGAAGGTTTTCTCGTCTAAGCCATAGAGGAGGTTCATTAGCTTCACAGTACAGACTTTCTGCCGGACTAGAACGGAATGCTCCAAGACATAAACGAATAGCTGTATTGTGAACTGTGTTCAGTGAATTTAATATTGATTTAGTACCAGACATATAGACGAAACATCCATAGTCTAGCTTAGAGCGGATAAGTGATCTGTAGACTTTCAGTAAAGTAGTTTCTTCCGCGCCCCAATGATAATGTGAGAGTGTTTTGAGTATATTTAACCTTTTTAGGCAAACTCCTTTAAGTTCCTGTATGTGTTGTTTCCAGGTTAATCTTGAATCAAATATCAGCCCTAATATTTTGCAATTATCAACAACCGGTAACTTGAAGTTGTTGATAGTGATTTCCGGATCAAAAGAACTCATTCTTCTGCTAAATTTAATAACTTTGGATTTAGAGTGGGAGAGGGTAAGTCCTAGAGAAGCTACTTTGTTTTGTAGGTCATTTACTCCTACTTGTAGAATTTTACTAGTAGTTGCGTTGGATTTACCATGACAGTACATTATTAGGTCATCGGCATATAATACGCATTTGATTGGTGGAGCTATATTTTCACTTAACTTGCTAATCGAAAGAATGAATAAGGATGTGCTTAAAACTGAACCTTGCGGAACTCCATCATATTGGATGTGTGGAGAAGAAAGGAAGTTATTGACAGAAACCCTGAACGATCTAGATGTTAGGAAGTTTTTGATAAATGCGTATATGTTGCCAGTAAGGTTACATTCAAAAAGTTTGTCAAGGATTGCATTTCTAGAGATGGTGTCAAATGCGCCTTCTATATCAAAGATAGTTGCTATCAAATCTTGCTTGCAATTTATTGCGTTGGAGATGTGGGTTTGGAGTATTACTAGATTATCTCTTGTGGAGCGCTGTCTTTGGTAGCCAGATTGTTCCTTTGGAATAATCTTATGTTTTTCAAAATACCACAAAAGACGTTTGTTAATCATTTTTTCCATTAGCTTACACATAGTGCATGTGAGAGAGATGGGCCTGTAAGATTGTGGAAACATAGTTGGCTGGTTTGGCTTGAGTATTGGTATAACTATAGATTTGCTCCATTGAGATGGAAATTTATGGGAACTCCAGATTATATTGTATAAATTAAGGAGTTTTTTAAGACTATAATTAGACAAGTGCTTTAGGAATGCATAAGGAATATCATCGGGTCCAGCTGCAGTGTTTCTACTATTAGCTAAGGCAGATATTAGCTCATGCATAGTGAAAGGAGAATTAAGGGATCTACTATGTTCAGATGATATCAGATGATTTCTGTGTGAATATAAGTCATGATGAGACAAAGCAATATTATTGGTTTTATTTCTGAACTTGTCTTCGAAATGTTTGGCAAAGGCGTTAGGAATAAGTTCGTATAAAGCGATCTCTGTACCATTTGTAATTAAACGAGTAATTTTATTATTAGTTTTGTGACCTTGAATTTGTCGTATTTTTTTCCAAATTTGGCTAGGATTGGAGTTTTCGTTGATAGATGATACGTAATCTTGCCAGGATGATTTTTTACTTTTTTTGACTACGTGTTTGGCCTTGGCTTTGAATTTTTTGTAATTTATTAGATTTTCAAGGCTTCTGTTTTTTTGGTACTTATTTAAAGCTTTTTTGGATAGACGAATCGCCTCTTCACAAGAAGAGTTCCACCAAGGAACTACTTTATGATTTGGAGAGAATGATGTTTTGCCAATATGAGTCTTAGCAGCTGAAAGAATAGTGTCTGTTATTGACGTTAACAAATAGTCTACATCGTTTATTATTAGATGATCATGCGCGAGCAAGAGAGTGTCAACGGCTTTTGAATACTCTGGCCAGTTAGCTTTTTTTAGGCGCCAATAGCTTTTGGCAGAGGCAGTCCCATTAGAATTGTTGGAAATTATTATAGGATAATGATTGCTATCAAAGAGATCGTCAGCTGTTTGCCAGGTTAAAAAAGGTGCAGATTTAGGGTCACTAATACTAAGATCTATAGCAGAGAAAGATCCAGATGAAATATTAAAATGAGTGTTAGATCCTGTGTTAAGAAGACATGAGTTTGTGCAGTTAATAATATTTTCAACTACTTTTCCCCGTCCAAATGTGGATTGAGAACCCCACATAACGTTATGTGCATTGAAGTCTCCTGTGAGAATAAACGGCTGTGGAAGTTGGAATATAAGGTCTAGGAGCTCTTCTTCTTTTAGAGAATGGTTTGGGGGAATATATATGGAGCAGATGGTTAGTTTATTAGGGCAATATGTAGTTATGGCAATTGCCTCAAGATTCGTTATTAATGGTAGCATTGTTGAGAAGATTTCGCTGGACGCAAATATAGATGCACCTCCACTGGCTCTTAAGCAGTTCGTTCTAATGAAGTGGTATCCTTCAAAGGATTTAAGATGAGGAATATTCGTTGTATTAAAATTAGTCTCTTGGAGACAAAGAAAATCTGGATGGTAAATTGATATAAGATATTGAATGTGTTCAAGGCGCGGATAGTATCCGTCGCAGTTCCATTGTAAAATAGTGAATTTGAAAAATTTATTTGGTTAGTAGAAGAATTTACCTTGTACTAATTAAGTAATTTTAGAAAGGATCGATATCATTGCAGTTAGAGTCACATGAATTATTGGACGTAAGGCTGGTAAGTTCGTCAGCGTCTATAGAATTTAATGTGCGTTTTAGCTTTTTCGTTATTCTTGTAATGCGATTTTTAAGTGATCTATCGGATACAGTTTGGTATATTTGAGTAAGATCTTCGAGGAGAGAAGGAATGTTCGTGGTGAAATTATGAGCTTCTTTGAGGGGATCACTACTTCCAAAGGAATTTTCTAGGAAGGCAATTATTTGTAATGCTGATAACGAAAATTTTTCTGGATTCGCACAAATTAATTTTTCAATACTTGAATGGGCACATAGACTAATTTTACAAATTTCTTTGTCATCAGTTTTGTTTTCTTTTTAGGAGCTGATTTAGGAGTTGCGAAGGTTGTTGTGTTTGGTGTGTTATTAGAGTTTAAGTTTAGGGGGGCTAGCGGTAACCAGTAGAGAAGGTGCATTCAAGACTTGTGTCAGTGGAATGAGTTCTTTTTATGCCAGAGTTAGAAGGGACAGATAATGGTGTTATAGACTGTTCATTTGGGGTTGTTATGTCAGTAGGTGGGTTATTTGAATAGATTTCTTTTTTTGTGGAGGGTGAAAGAGGAGATATACTAGAATGAGGATCGACTGGATTTTGGCTAGAAGTTGTATTTGGAGAGGGATTGCTAGATATTTCTTGAGGGTTAGGGCAGGAGTCTGCAGTGTGTCCAGATTGCTTACATAAAAAGCATTTCAAGTTTGTGTCCGAAGTAATAAAGATCCTATAATTTGTATTTTCATATGAGATTACAATTGAAGTATTTATAACTCAAAGTATTCTTTATTTGGTATCACAAAGACTGAGCGTCGAAAACTGAAGATGTGAGCATATTCGTCTTCGGAGAACTACAACGGATATGCGAGATAGGGGAAGCAAGTTGTAATCCAAGTTCATTTTTAAGTGCTTGCTCTATGAGTGCATTCGGAATCGAAGGACACACGTTAGAAAGGTAGTAGCCTCTTTGCAGGAGTGATAAGTCTACGAATAGATATTGTTTGATTTCTAATCGAAATAGTAGGATTATTTTTTAGAAGATTATCTACTACGGTTACGGAAGAAAGATAGATGCATATACGTTGATTAGAAATACGTGAAGCAAAGGTTATTTCTTTAGGGGTAACAATTCGCCGATTGCCTTTATGTAATCAAATAGTACTACGTCTGGGATAGCGTTCATAACAATGGCTTGAGTTCTACTAGGACATGATGTTGCTGTTGTAGATTTTTTCTGTGCTATTTTGGTTACTGCAGCGAAGCTAGGTTGAGCTGTTTGTGAAGATGATGCCATATTTGATTTTAATATTTTGGATGCCAAAATATTAAGTATGGCCAAAAACGACTGGCCTAATTTTATTTGTCGAAAGTAGTAATTTAACTGATATCGACTTACCAATATTTGCTTGATAAACAATCACATTAAACTAAACAAGTTTTTATTCAAAATACTATTAGTAGGAAGCCCGATGTTTACTCGTTGGCTTCTGAAATAGGAATACAATCACAAAATTGAAAATGCAAGTCAATTAAAATCCTTTTTAATAGTACACATTTACTGTTCTTTCAGAGTTTAGACAAATGTGAAAAGTTATTTTATAAATTATTGTTTAATATTTTATATTATCTAGTTTTATTATCAGGAAAAACTAAAATATACAATATATTATAACCTAAAAAAGAGAACAGATGACTTTACAAATCTGCTGGTAGGAGATTGAGTACTGAAACTTTGAATACTAAAATTTAAATAATATTTTTAAAATTAAAGAAAGTAATTTTATTATTTATATTTAAACAAATTATTATTAAACTAATTCGATAAATAATTATGTTGCAAGACATGCGTTTTTTACTTGTGCCAGGCTTGTCAAAGTCAGATTAAATATAAAATATAAATAAATAGTTTGATAGTAAATTTGGATTTTTAATTATTGTATAAACTGAACTTTAAATTCCCATGTAAACAGATTAGATCACAGAATTACATATTCTGTGATTATATCACCTTAGCACAGAAATTAAAGACCTTAATAAAAGCATAGAATATTATTTTCAGAGCCTTTGTCTCCGATCTTCTTTTTGTTCATCCTGTAGAAGCTAATAAACAAAGATAGAAAGTTATTTTGACTGGCGCATGCTCATATAGCACTGCGCAAATACGTGTCGCACGAATGGGAAAACTAATGTTTACGTCACGGCCGCGTCACCAAAAAAATTTAGTTATATCTTTTCTTGAAGGTGGCCCGTTGAAGCAGATTTGTTGAAAACCATGGAAATCGTTCAAGAATTATCCAGTCAATATGTTCTGTATATTCCTGTAGCTTTAGTAATCGTTGGAGCTATTTTGGTGTTCACTTTTGGTTTTAAATCTGCCGAACAACCACCCTTCGACAAATTATCTTTTGACGATAGAAAATCTGCTGGGAAAAAGCGTAAAACTAAGGAAAAGGTATGAAAACTAATGAAATAGTTTAATATTAAAAGTGTTTCTTTTTTCTGTCATTTATTGAGAACTTATTTCTTTCAACATATGCTTGTCATACAGCATTGTACACACACTTTTATTTCAATTTCACTTAAAATTGTAGCTAATATTGTGCATAAGATTTTAAAACATTAACATTAAGTATAAATACGTTGGTGGCAGTATAATCTATTTAATTTTCATACATTAATTAGTTCATTCTCTCTTTTTGAAACTACTAATATTTAATCTATTTATATTACTGTTCAATTTAATTAATATAAGTGATAGGAACAGATGTTTATGTAGCTTTAGATCATTTTGTATGTGCAATGCTTTTATAACAAAAAATATTGTAGTTATTCTATAAAGGCCTATGGTAATATTTATATTTGTAAATTAATTTGAATTTAAATATTAGACTTTGATCCCAATACCTTCAAGTGGCAGAAATACCTATGCTTTGAAGTATATTAATTAAATAGATATGTCTTTTAGGCTTGGAGTTTTTAATAATTAATTAGAAATCTTGCTGCCATTCAGAAATCTTTATGCCCATGATCACATTGCTACATAGTTAAAAAAAAATACAACCAAAAATGCATTGTACACTGCTATTGACTTGTTTTGTTATAGTAAAATATCTAATATATTTGAAAAAATATTAAAACAAAACTATGAAATAGGTAAAATTTGCCCACAGAACAAGTGCCTTTGGATATTTGATCAATAGATACAGTAATACAAAAAAGTTTAAATCTGAATCTGTCCTTTATGATATCTTGGTACCTACTTTATTTAGTATAATGTTAGGAATAAATTTTTCAGCTTCCAGGAAAGAAACTAATTTTTTTTGAAAATAACTTAACTGGAAATGAAATATCAAGCAATTTGTTTTCAAGGAGTTTCATATAAAATTCAAATAATTATACCCATATATCAAAGATAGGCCAATAGTGAAACAACAAACCATACAAATATTGCCTATAGGGTACTAATATCATATCAAATCTTATATTGGGTTATTGTGAATTTATTAAACATGTAAACAAACAACATTTTTTGTAAAATAAACACTGAATAGCAGCAAAATAATATACAGCATATATTATGAATATTTTGCAAAATAATATTCGGGAATGGTAAAAACTCATTAATTTTGTTAGTTCAATTCTTACAAAAAAATTATACAGACATAGAGAAGAGTAGTACACAATGAGACAAAAAACACATTTTTATTTCTGACATTGACATTTTTGAATTTATCGACAAACTGAGTTAATCAGGCACCAACATGATTATTTCCTCAATATAATCTAAAATAATTATTCTCACATGTGTGTAGAAACAAAATCTATGATTATTTTTCTAACCATCTACATCTGTCTCATTGTGTACCATTGGTGGTACACAATGAGTCAAGTGGTATTATTTCAATAATTTGTTAAAGTAAATACATAGAGTGTAGTTTTTATTATTGAAAATAGCACTTTTACAGGTACAATAGAAAAACTGAAATGAAAGAAAATTTTAACAGATTTTAATACTGTCAAATTTTACATCAAATTTGAAATAAGATGCACAGCACGTGTTTTTTTGATCTACATTTTTTGGTTTTGATAGAATTGATACAATGTCTGACCTTGCTACCACAGCAATGTCTTCAACTAAAGGAAAAATGAAGCAGCCTTGAAGCTTACCACTTTTTCTTAAAAATGACACTTTAAATCCATTATTGTCTTATATCTTGAGAACTTAGCAACATAAAATATAATGTTTCAAATTCCTATACAAACTATCAATGGAATTCGTACTAGCATCAATGCCATCTTCACCTTCCAACTGTAAATTTTCACATACATCGCCAGAAGAATCATCGTAATTGATTAGTTCTTTCCTCTCTTGGAATAAAGTGCTATCACTTCATTTATTTTTTTTTCTGCTTTGGTGCTGAGCTGTATACCTTATTTAAATTGACCTTAATTCGTTTATTATTCTGAGGAGTCATTTTTTTGGTTGTTGCTTGCAGTTTTGAACTGATCCAAGTCAGATGTGTTAATTGAAATTGCACTCTTTTTAGTTTTCCTTGCCCTCACACTTTTTCTCATTTCTGCTTTTGGAAATCCTTTAGACTCATGAGGGAGATGAAACGAACTTGAATTTGCAGATGATACTATTGACTTGAGTTGAGAAATGAGTTTTGAGACATTATCGATTTTTCAGGTGTCCTTGGTAGATACTTCTTGATTTTCAGGTGTCTTCGATTAGGATGATATAACTTGATTGGAAAGCACGCTAGACATTTCTGTCAACTCTGGTTGTGGATTTGGCTGTTCAGTTTCATTTGGTCTATCAGTCACAAAACTACCAATGAAGTCAGCTTCAGAAAAAATGTCTCTATTAAGGGGAAAAATTCCTGTTTTATTAAATCCTGATAGAATATTAGTAGCTGTTAATGCTTTCATATGTGCCTCTCCTACATATTGTGCTATCTGGTATATTGAAATAGGTTTACCAGGATTGTTTAGTAACCAGAAGACTATAGTGGTATTGTAATATGCTTTAAAGGCAGAGAAAATTGAAACATCAAGGGGTTGCAGTTTGTTATTACAATGTGGAAGTAGAGTCAGTATGACTACACCATTATCCTTTACCAGTTGAATAACTTGATATATTATATTATGTATATCATGATTGCCGTAGATCAATATGTTTCATAACGTCGACAAACAGCTCACTATTCATCAATCCACTTGGATTTGCCAAACCTAGTGTGCCAGGTAGAATTCCTTGTGTCATATGCTCATCAGAATATTTCCTTGAAAAAACCATAACAGGAGGTAGAAAAGTACCATTCGCACATACAATTACACATGTAGTAATAAGAATACCCCTTTCACTGCTAGTACAACTATTCAGCTGTTTTACACCTTTCTTTGCCACTACTTCCTTAGGTTTCTGCACTGCTGTTGTACTAGTCTCATGGTTACATATCCTGATATTAGCCACCGAACCATTGGAGTCTAGCTATTTTATCTTTGATTCAGTTCACTGGAACTGGAATATTGTTTTTAATTGCTATATCATATGCTACCTTTCGTGCTTGAATGGTGTTAATCCGTAGCTCATTTTGCTACAAGTTTTGATAGAGTCACACAGAGAAATTTCCTGTTCCTCTGAAAACACATGTCATACAGCATAATTGGGTTCAATTCAGTTATCATCTGGATTAGTACATTTTTTTGCGACATATCTTTGTAATGTTTGAAATTTTACTCTGTGTTCAACAGCAGCAATTCTTAATAATTTTCCGTCCAAAACATCTTGTACAGCACTTGCCATATCATCGGAGCTGAATGTTGTTTGACTACTTGGTTTTTCTTTGCTCACCATGTCTGTAACAAACATAATAATTTGTTATTCTACTTATCCAACATATAGTTATAGCATAAACACTAGATACAAATTTTAGTAGTACATAATGGGACAGTCTTCAGTGTTTCATTGTGTACCAAGTAGCATTTTTGTAAACAAATACAAATAATCATATTTAATTTTTAGTTTTGAGACACAACTATTTGAGTTTAGACTAACTTAACTGTGGTATTTCACACATACACTTGCAAATTGACACAAATCAACAATTAGTTCTAATAATAAGTCAACAAAACTATATAAAAAGTAACTTCTTACCTTAATTAACCAGTTTATCACTGTAACTTTTATGAGGTCACTAATGAAATGGTGGTATTTTGACTGGCGCTGTAAACTGACATTTCTGAGATAATGTTGGTTGCAGAATTGCAACTTGGAGGTTAATTTAAAAAAAAATTGGAATGTCTTATTGTGTACTACTCTCCTAATATATTTTGTTATTGGAAATGATAGTTTTGTTTGATAACACACCAGTTTGTGTCCATTTCTAAGATACTGATTCACTATGTTTCATAAGTCTAATGCAAGACCAATATCATATTCACTTTGGAAAGATATTTTTAACATGTTTAGTGTTAGGTTGGTCATTTGTGACTTATATACACAATTATAAATTTGGGTTATGTTAGGTCAAATTATCACTATGACATGGTAGTTGCTTAACTATTTCATGTGACCACTGTGGTCCAGTTGAACATGAAAATAACATTTTAATCTCAATCTGTTATCACCTTTTTAATGCTTTCTTCTCTTTTTTGTATTTTGTTTTGATCATTTGATGAATTAGCAGTAGAAAAATATTGCATTTACCATGTACCTACTTTTTTACATGTCTATACCTAAAATAACAACTGTCCTGGCTGGAGATACAAAACTTCCTCCTATTTTCTCTATTGGTCTATATCTTCAGCTGCCTTAAGAGTTTCACAGAATTAGTGGCCCACTGAATTCTGACTTTGGTTGGACCATCTTTTTGGTTTTTTCCCAGGAATGTTTCCTGAAACAATTAATTTCTCTAAATTATTCTGTGTGTGGTTACCTCTGTGAACCACATGACCAAAGAACTGTAGAATTTGCTGCAGACATGTTGTGGACAGTCTTTTTTAGTGTTAAGTTGGTTAATATTGGAAATGTTTCTCTGACGAGCTGTCCAATTTTGGACCTTGTGCCAAGACTCCAAGTTTCTGTTCTGTATAGGAATATTGTGAATTCCAATACATTCACTAATCTCATCTTAATTTTTTCAGATTGGATCATTAGATCATCTTTTCAAACTATTAATTAGGTGACTCATTTAACTTTTTGCCAATGTGTCTCTGAACTTCTGCATCATTAGTTATACTAGATATGAGATAGTTAAAGCCTACTACCATCTGGTATTTCTGCAAGTGGTTAGTCAGCTGAGTAGTGTTGAATCTGTGTACCACCATTATTTTTGTCTTCCAGTTTTAGTTTTAAGACCAACTTCCACCACTCTTCTAGGAGATCTAGTAATTCCTATTCATTTGCTGCTATAAATGTAGTGTCATCAGCAAATCTTAAATTGGGGA